CTAACTGGTATTTGTGTCAGTGAACTCCTATTTGGTCGTGTTAGAACACGGTTTGCATAAAATAAGGAACTGAGCTGTATGTCTGTTTTAACAAGTGCCAAGCCAAGAGATTTACAAAAACACTTCGGCTCCTCATCCCTGCAATGGCATTTTGCAAGATTCTTGCCACATGCCGCACACTGATGGTTGTTTGCCACCTTCCAGCCAAGGGGTGACAGCGTGTTCATGCTGTCTTTTGTCAGCACCTTCGAAAGCAGCTCAGTTTTGAACTCAGTTTTTCTTTCCACCTTGTAGATGAAGAGTTCGGTCATCCTGGCACTGAGGCATTGCTCTGCACAGAGAAGTTCAGTGAGATGAATGGGGGAGGAAGAAGAGCAGAGGCATATTCATTGAAGAGAAAGAAAAAAAAACCAAACATGCCTCAGATGACATCATGCACGTCATACCTCATACACACTTTAACTTAGCACTGTAGTGCTGTGACTATCGCTCATTCCCGTTCCTGCAGCTCCATCTGCAGCTGGAGACATTTGTTGATATTTCTGCATGACTTGTGAGAATAGGACTTCTCTGGACCCCTTCTGACATAGCTCAACTTTGCAGGGTAAATACTGTTCTCAAGTCTTCAAGCCACGTGAAAACTCTTGAAAGTGACATGGTGAAAGCCAGGCTTGGTCCTACCGGGACTTTTAAATAATATGTTGCATGGGACTCGATGAACGAACACGTGAATAATTTGGCCCCCCAGCAAGGAGCTGGACTTGACATTACTCTAGTGCTTCTGAGGTTCCTACAGCAGGGGACTGCTACAGGGAAAGCTAGGCGGGCTGCAGCCTCAGCAGCCGACACGGCCACCCACACACCATGTTGAAAGGCTTGAAGAACAGATGACAGAGCAACTGGTTCCCTCTCACCCAACTCATGTATCCCAGCACAAAGTCAAGCAGCATTCAAACTAAAGTATGCCAGCTTTTAAAGATACGCCACAGCGTGAGCAGAAGATAACCACGGACAGACGGGTTGTGTGCACCCTTGCTGCTCCATGGAGAATCATACACCCTTCCTGACATGATTTCAATCTCTTGAGCATGGCACACAGCCGTCTCAGGATCTGTGGGATCCACATGCTTCCCATTTCAGTGTAGGCAGCAGTAAAATCAGTCTTCTGTAGCATGGTCTCCCGTATTCACCAGACTCTTGGTATCGGGGCTTCTTCTCCCCCTCGGCATCACTACAGACTTGCACACAGTGGCTTTGCTGCCTGTCTTGGGAGCTTTAAACACAGGCATCTCTTGGTAGCAACAGCACCATGACCTTGTATTTCCATGACCAACTGTGTTTTCAAGTCCCGTTCAAAGCAAATTACTTTGGGGCGGGGGGGGAGGCGTGGGACACACCTCGACCTCACAGAACAGGTCTCTGCCTTGCTTCCAGAGTGACAGTCAACAATTCAGTACGAGAAAGCGAACTTTTGCGATTAGATCCCGGCCGGCTTGGTTTCTGGAAGAGCAGGACGAGGAGCGCCAGCGCCGTGCCGGTGCCCGACAGGCAACACCAGCCAAGAGGGGCAGGGACGGAGTCACCAGCCCCACGTTTTTGTGAGCGAAACGTTACACCTGCGCGCGCTCGCCGCCCCACGTCCTCGCGTTATTTTCGCTTGCAGGCGGCTGCAGCACGGCAGCGGGCTGGGGTCCCGGCTCCGCAGCAT